GATCATATAAAACAACAGTTGAATCAAACGTTATTAAACTTCATAATATCATGTGATGACCTGATGATAGTCGGAAGTAGGGTTGCCATATAATTGAATTCGATGTTTTTGTTTAGCTGAATTTATTGGATATTACGATATCAATTTTTGTTATATGCAAATTAATATAAAATATTTCTCTTATTATTTTTAGAGTATTATTAAATTTATTACACTTTTTTACTCGTGTATAGCATTGTATACTAAAAACAAATGTCTAATACAATGCTATACCTATCAATTTGATTTATTTGCAGAAACTATAATTGTTCAAACAATATTATCATAGTAAAAACATATATTTTTTTAAAAGTAAGATTACTAATTGCGTGTTTTAACAACAATTCTCGTTCAATGGTAACTAATTTTACCCCTAAGTAGTTTGTCACCGAGAAATAGTTTGGACAAGTCGTCTGCGATTTTAACCGCCTAGCAGTTTGCTTTGAAAGCTATTTTACAGTCGATCCATGAATGAAGACAATGAAACTAGAGAATACGGAGGCGTAATATCTTAGGGCTCCGGAATAGCAATGCATGTAGGTACATCACGTTATCTGTGATATTGCTCATGCGTTGCTATAGGCTACTACTGCTATGAACAGCACACCTAGTACTGTTCATGTATATAGCCGACGGTTACCACTTACCATCTGGTGGTCTGTCAGCTACTTTATTATTCCAAAATCCTTGACAGCCCTACAAAAAAGTCGTTATTCAACAATTGTGCCTCATCTACTGGTCCCACGACATTAAACTGATTGTTTTAATAATACCTACTTCTACTTAAATTAATGACATACATGCACATGATTGCTGGCTTTTGAAGCATGTCGGCATAATGCACTAACATTTTCCTTCAAAACTCCTATACTTGGAAATCAATTGACGTACAAAATAATTTTAGTAGAGAGTTTTTAATAAAAATGATCTCGTATATATATTTTTATCAATATTTTGTGTTTATTATTTAATTTGAAATGTGTTTTATATGATGACGCGCGTGCATGGTAATAGTAGTTCATGCACGGGATTTTCATTTTATGTTAGACATAGACACCTATATAAGTAAACAATGTAATGTAACAATAAAATGTCTTTAAAAAAAAGAAATTCAGTTCAGTTTTGCCAAGTTCTTCAATTTAATCTGTCTGACGGTAGGGAAAAAATTTTACATTCATAAGCGGCTAAAATGTTGACATGAATGAATGATTTTTGATTTGATTTGATTTTATATAATTTGGTAGCAAAATTATTATTGATTTAATAAGTATTAAATGCATAATATTTATATAATTGACATTCAATTATATAAATAGTTCTTGAAAATTATAATATAAATTTTACAATATGTACTTATTTTTTATATTCGCGTTTTGTATACATTATTAATATAGATTATTTCTTAAAGGAATAAAAAGAATCATTCATAAATACAACTTGATTCTTGAATGAAGCGAATATTAGCATAAATTAAAATATGATTTCGTAAAGTTTTCTATTGTTCTTAAACTTAGTCATTCAGGCGAAAGTGTGTAACTATGGAAATTGTTTTCAGAAGTCACTTGGTACCTACTATGCATACATATACATATAAACGTACTTACTTACGTACTTTCTGGCACACGTAATTTATTTTATTGCAAATCGTTTCTGAATTAGGTAATATGAACATGTAGATTCATTGTGGTTAATCAATATTATTACTAGCTGACCCAACTGGCAAATATTTTGCTATGTAAATTAAAGTACTAATAACGCTATTAAAAAAATAGGGATTGGTGGTAGACGAGTGAAAATTTAGGAGTATATTTATTTATTACTACATCTTAAAAATAAAGAAAAAAAAATTGTGGCACACTTAAATTTTTTTTATATCCTTATCAAGACAAAAGCAACTAACACTGTCACTGTTATTCTAATTCTAATTAAATTGTAACATAGAGACTAAAAATATAAGATTATATTATAAAGTGATAGAATGACTTGTTCTTCTATTCTAATCAAATAATTTGTCACTTCATTTATTTTTGCCTTTGTGAATAACTAAACAATAATTAAAAATGCGAAATGTTGCTGGATGATAGTTTATAGGCGCAAACATAATAACATATTTGCGGAGGGACGGGGATCATTAGTAATGGGAACTAACGTTCTCATTGCTACTTACGTATTCAGGTTACCACGCGGTTCCCCCTGGAAACCATCATCTTAAATTCGTGGTGAATTTGCCACGATGGCCTAACTGATCTGATCTTATACTCATCCTTTCATCCATCACTGGTTCCGACCGACCTTTAGCGCTGGCAGGTATACACCATTATCAGATATAAAAATACAATGATTGTTGTGAAAATATACTAATAATTGAAATAATTAATATGCTTAAATATATAAATATTTTATTAGTAAATAATTGATATATTCATTTTGAAAATAATCTTGCTTCTCGATTTGAACATACAAATAATGAGTGTTTCATTATAAAAGATGTATATAATAATTATAAAATTATTTAAAACTGATAATTGTTTTTAGAATAGAAATAATCTTTATTCCAATAAACTTAATATAAGCACTTTTGAATAGTTAAGTTTTTATTCTACCGCTTATTCGGAATGCAGATTCATCACAAGAAGAATAAGCAAGAAACTTGTGTGTTGCTATTTTAAATAAATACTGATTTACTTATATTTAATTAACAACAAGGATTAGGTATGCGACAATCAACATAGAAACCGCTACGCATTTAATCTCTGTTCAATCAGATAACATTGACAGCGCTATGAATTTTAAGTTAGATTTTTTCTACAAAAACATTATTATCATTTATAAATTCTTCAATTTTATAATAAGCTTTTTTACAAAGAAAATATTTTATGACACATGTGAATTTTTTTTTGACATATTGACTACAGACTCTGGTAGTTTGTTGTAAAACTTTACGCAATTTCCATAAAACGAATTACTGACTTTCGTCAAACGGCACACGGTTTGTCTCTTGCATATCAGAAGTGACAAAATAATAATTAAATTAGGCAATTTAAAGGGAATATACAAGCAGGCTTCTTTATAAATTTCATATGTTATAGTTATCCACTAACAATGGATTTGTTGATTGAGTAAATTATATTTGTAATATTTTCCTCTCCAATTCCAGGACGCGTATATAATGTATGTATCTAATATACCCTACTTTAAATATTGTAATATCATTAAAGGCGATTCATATCAAGCATTTAGTAATGAGACTTCTAGTTCGTATTATCTAACACCAGTGAAAATCTTGACAAACATTTCAATATAGAAAAGAACGTTTCTTAAATTGCCTCTACTGAGAATTGAACTCTGTAACTTATTCAGACAATGCTATGCGATTACTACCGAGTGAAGGAAATCGAATATTTCATATTAAATTGTATTACGTAGTTGTACAAAACAGATAAGTGTCGAGTAATTTCCATGTCTGTGTCGTCATCTTCAAGCATTATTGTGCTGACTGTACTACGTGTGTATTCTGCAGTATACGCCTTCTCAAAAACTGGTAATCAACCAATAGGACAGTTTCGCGCGCTTTGACGTCATAGCTACGTTCTGTGGTCTTTACTGCTTACAATGTGAGTCACTGCACAGATAGCTTCGTTTATATTGGCAACATTCTGTTTTGAATCCTCAGTTACACATAATATTACTCGTGTACGGACCTTTTGATTCCATTTTCAAAATACTTTCTTTTTTTTATATTTCGAAAGATTTTCGTGTCGTTTCCTAAGCTTAATTATATTTAAATAATAAAATAAGTGATTATATAAAGGTGACTTTTTAAAGAATGCATTCGAAAAGTATTTGCTTCTCTATTGTGGACTTTAAGGATGTTGTTTTGTGGGCTTATATTTTTTACAGCAGAAAGGTATTAGAAGTTTTTCTTATTATTAATATTAATCGTAAATTATACAATTCATTTTGATATATAAGAATGTATTAGTTATTTAGCATTATTATAGATAATCTTTACATTGCAGTGATTAAGCGATTTTCCCACAAAAATATCTCAGGTCGTTTCTTAATCTACAGTAATATAATTAGATTTCATTCATGTTTAATTGTATGGTTTTATTGTACAGATATGAAATATATTATAATAATATTATAAGTAATATTTTACTTGCGTATTACCTAGTAGGTATTACGAAGTAAGTGTTACTGTTTCCTGAAATGACGTAGGTCTGAACAAGTCAGAGTTAAATGTTATTAGTTTAATAAAATAAAATCCAATATTAATAATCACACTCATGTACCATGTATATGTTGTAAGCGGTTTTTCAAAATAATTGATAACGTATTTATATTGGCAGTAGCTCTCAAACATCTTATAGAAATACTTACATTTATTTTTTAAGATCACGCTGAATACACACAGAACATATAAACAAGAAATGAACCCAATTGTGTGTATATTGCCATAAACGAACCCATGACCATTTTAATGATGCAGTGTCATAAATCGCTACGCCACTGAGGTTGTTAAAATAAGCGTGTAATTTACAAGTAGATATAGTTCATCTATGATCTACGTCAGTGAAAGAATGTAATATTGATTTATATTTAGATTTGTATCTAGTTGACCAGAATCCTTTATTAAGTTTCAGTACTATAAAAAATCTGATTTCTGCGACACAAGACTTGTGCAGGGATTGTTGTTAAAACGTTTTACCTATATTTAGTAATGTAAACGTGTCCAAACAAATAATTATCTGGGATAAATAAATAGAATATTGAAACCTTCAAGAAAAGAGCTTATTCCTTCTTAAAAGGCCGGTAACGCACTTGCAATTCTCTTGGTGTTGCGGGTGCTCACGGGCGGCGGTAATCACTTACGATCGGGTGAGCCGCTAGCTCATTTGTCCCTATACTATAAAAAATTATATAAGTAAGTATTAACATAAGTAATCTGCTCATTCCAGCAATCAGAAAGATGGCGCAAACTCCGGAACATAGTGCAGTGGACCCCCTTCTTCCAAACGTACAAGAAGCAAAGGTACCCGTGGATCCAATTGGCTGGCCATCAAGGGAACTTCAAGGCTGGTCCCGACCAAGGCACCATACTGAAGAAGTTGTGTCCACAAGAAGAAACCTGTTTCAAAGTAAGTGATCAAATGTGCACCCAATTTTTGTAATATAAATGGCAAATGTTTAAGGATTCCATATGACAGCCTGGGTGGTCTAGCGGTTTAGAATACCGCTTTACTTTCGATGGTTGCAGGTTCAAACATCTTCGCACGGTATACATAAATATGATTGTTTGTGTCTGTTTACATGTTTACTATGTATATTTTTACAAAAAAAGCATTTGGATCACTTATATATTACTCATAACATAATATCTGCTTAGCTTGGAGTGCTTAGAGGGCTCTGTGTGAGTTGTCTTGGGTTTTTATTATGAATAATAAGACAGAATAGAGCGAAAAAGATTAGAGGAGGCCTTTGCTTGGAAGCAAGCAGACGACCAAGAAGTAGTAAACATAGTATGTATGACATAGCCAAAAATTATATGAATAAAGGGCTATTATAAAAAAAAGAATAACAACAAACATCAAAATACTTTATGTGATCTGTGGTGCCATTCCTAAAAACTAAGGTAAACCTACAGCATAAATGCTCGAACAAAATGTTTTTAAATCATAGTTTTTCCCCCATTCCTGTCCAACGATACGGCTATATCGTAAATTGTATACATTTTATAAATATCTAATTAAGTATCAGCAGTATTGATAAATATGTTCCTATTATATATCACTTCTATTATAATAAAATACGTAGATATATTGTCTGTTAGATACCAGTATATACATATTTTGTTGATCTTTGGAATGTTGTAAGTTTACAGCGGCCTGTGAACTAAGATAATGTTAATAGTATCATAATTTTAATGTAATATCGATATGTCTTGTTAACTTGTATATATACATATATATTTATGTTTATATACAACTAAACCTCGCAACGTAGGTTTTTTTTAGTAAACAATGTGGATTGAAATTAAATATACGTAGTCTAAATTTTTAGAAACGCACACCGTAATACATAATGAAAAACGTACATTCATATAGTCCCTGTCCTCAATAACAGTTTTTTTTATAATCTTCTATACATATATATCATATACTATGTACCTAAAGTAAACATTTATATTACATTTTTTATATGTTTATATTTATCTAGCCCGAATGACTACCTACAGTCAAAACTGTTAAGACTAGAAAACAATAAATCGGACCATAGGGTTCTTTTTACTTTAGGCATACGGTAAGATTTTTGGAAATTTCTCATAATCGTCCACCATAATGAGAGTAACTAAATATTCTTTAGGGGATCTAAAATTTATGAAATATAGGTATGCCTTAGGGAAATTTGTAATGTACAATTTACGTCAGAAGAGGAACTTCGTTTCCAGATAATTTAACAAGTACGTAAATACTAATTTCTATTTCAGTACATATTATATCTTCCTCGTATAACATTTTAGGGGGAGTTTATTGAAATTACAACGAAATACACGCAATAATACAATACCTCGTACCAACTCGTAATAACAATAAACCATTGTTTTAAAACTACAGGATAAATATTCGAATAATTGTAGGTATACCTATAAATCGGACTGTACCTAAGACAATTTTTTAAACATCAATATATAAATATTTCATTATTTGTATATTATTCTTACTAGTAAAAAATTCGAGATACCACATATTTACTAAACAAATTCAGGTTTTTACGAAAGGTGTACATATTATTTTTATTTATATTACGTGATTTATTATATAAACATATATATTATTTTTAAATTTTTTATCGTTTTTATATATTTCGAGGTTTTGCGGTTCTTTACCCAAGGGAAATTATTATTATTCTAATGTATAAGCTATATTATTGTAAAGTTTCATTAAAATCCCTTCTGTGGTATTTGCATGAAAGAAGATCGCTACATCCATCCACACTCACAAACTGCTGCGTTTATATTATAGTAAGACTAAAACTGTAAGTGCTATCGTAATCTAAAAATTAAACTTAAATTGCTGTAATATTTATTTAGCTAAATAGTTACATAATTATGTTATACATCAGGACCTTATCAAACAGATATCGTAATGCAGTATCATTAATATTATCAACTGTATATACAAGATTATATTTTGTTTAAACATTATGTACATGCAATTAATGTAATGTTTATTTCATCATATACATAGTTTCTAAATAATCATGTAATGCATTCACACCTTTTCCTTAAGTGGTTCTATTGACGCAAGTTCTACGTGTTATGAACTTCATTGACGTATTCGTTAGGTTGTGAGACCCTATAATAGTATCGATTAATGTCAAATGATAAATGAATACATTGATTATCATCAAACATAAAATAATAAAATTTATTCTATTAAATAATAGAATAGAATATTATTAAATAATATTTTAAGGAAGATATTACATATGAATATGAATTATTATAAGGGCAGAGGATGGCTGAAAAAGAGATGGATGGACTGAGTGGAAGATGATATGGTCAGAGAGGAAGTAAATAACGACCCCAATTAAATGGGATAATAAAAAGTAGATGATAATGTTTATTAAATAGTCATGAATCATCATTAGCTTCGAATTTTTGTGTTGAACATAAGATACTCCCTAAATCATTAACTTTTTTGAACTATTGCAAATCAGGTATCGACTACAAAAGTATCAATGAAAAGACGAGTGTATCAGACCTCGAAAACAAAAAGCGGTCCTTTAAGAAAATTATAATTGTAAGACCAACAATATATCAGATAACGAAAAATCCTAATTGTATTATATATTGTTTAGGTGATATAAATATTATGGATTAGACTTTACACTGAAAAAAGATTTAGCCCCTTAAAACCAAAATATTTTATTTTGGGTCACTAATAGCCTATAATGTTAAAGCCCCACTACGTCAATGGACCTTATTTAGTATATAGAAGGAACTAATTGAGTTTTTGTTTCATTTCAGTTCCTGATGAAAGACATCCTGCGACCATTTGTTCCAGAATACAAGGGCCAAGTCAAGTGCGATGATGGAGAACGTATCCTTTTACATAATAAAATATATAACGATAAAAAATTTAGTATTCGTATTGAATGCTTAATGTATATTATATAGTAAATAAATAATAAAAAGCAAATAACAGTCGTAGTAAAAGGTTTTACTCATGAAATTTTCTATAGAATATTTATAATGATATAAGTATTTTAATTTTGTTTCTATCAATTAATTTAATTTTTAGATATGCATTAAAATGCAAAAGAAATTTCATACTCATAAAGCATATCTGAAGTAGATAATCTTGATACAAAATAGGTAAAATGCTTCTCATAACTGAGACATAACCGAATAAAAGTAACTTTAGTAAAGAATTTAATTCAACTAAGAAAAATAGTCGTGATGTTTGCAATATAACTCGTGGACATTCACGAATAGTACATAGCATAATATATAATACTCCTTAACTAAACATTATCAAACAGTATACTTGCAATTGCAAGATCTCCTCAGCGATTTCGACTGTCCTTGTGTCATGGACTGCAAAATAGGCGTTCGAACATATTTGGAGGAGGAACTTGCAAAGGCTAAGGAGAAGACCAAGTTAAGAAAAGTAAGTCATTATTATTAACAAAAAATATCTATTTACAAAGAATGTCATGTATAAACCTCAAACTACAATTATCCATATAGAGATATTATGAAACAAAATAAAACAACATTGTAAAATAATTAATTCTGATGTTCTTATGTAAATCAATAGAGGTTGTTATATGCAATACTAAATAATTACTCATAAACAAATATGATTCTTAAAGGTTAAGGGATTTTTTTAAACTTTAAAGCATAATCCATGTGGAATATTTTTATTTATCTTCATTTTCTTCGCTTTCCCTCGCAATAAGGCAAAAGAACAACCGCCATATTATAAAGAAAAAACAAAAAAAAATTAATGAAAAACAAAACAATACACTTTATATAAGAAGTAACTATAAATATTCTCATAACTCTTTTCAGGATATGTACGAGAAAATGATTCAGATTGATCCCAAAGCGCCGTCTGATGAGGAACACAGAAGCAAAGGTGTCACCAAACCTCGTTACATGATCTGGCGAGAAACAATTAGTTCAACAGCTACATTAGGATTTAGAATAGACGGAGTGAAGAAAGCAGACGGGACCAGTTCAAAAGACTTCAAAACCACTAAGACTAGAGAACAAATATCAGAAGCATTTAAAGAGTTCACCAGTAATTTTCCTAATGCTGCGGTAAGTTAAAAATACATGTTTTTGTTACTATTATTTGCAAATAGAGTCATAAATTAATAATATCTAATAAAAAGAAACTGATAGAATTTCTATTCATTCATACGTCCATCAGAATCTTTTGCAATTATAATATTAATTGCAAAAGATTCTGATGGACCTATCAATGTCTGTTACTCTTTCATGCAAAAACTATTAATTGATTTGAATTGAAGGTACACCAATAACATTTTAGCCTAGAATATGATTGATGTTCGGGTAAAATAGTGATACAGTGGTTCTGTTAGTATAATGTCCATAAATTGTCATCATATCGACTCTTATGATATCATACTCATGATCCAGTTATTAAATTATTCTAGCTGGGTACGTTTTTTCTATTATTTGGGTATAGTCAGTTATTATTTGAGTAATTGCTCTATCTTTTTACGTTTAATCACTTATAACATTAATATTCTTATTCATTTCTTATACAAAATTCACAAAAAAATTATTAACAATTTTTTGCATATTACAGTCAGAATAAGTTTATGGATTGAACAGAAATAATTGTAGAATTATTATTATCTGATGACTAATCATAATCAGTAATTGAGTGATTCGATCTCACAATTCTATTGTAAGCATTTTCTCATTCATTAATCAGTAATTAAAGATCACTTCAAAAGTCGTTATAAACATTAAAAAAAAAATATACACAAAAGAATGCAGATAACTGTGTGAAACAATGTGTTAGACTTCCGTGGATACTTTCGTTTTTATACTTAATTTAGATATTAATGTCGATGGTTATAAGGGCTGAGGAAGGCCGATAAAGAGATGGATGGACTGTGTAAATGATAAAATGTTATTCAGTTGATTTGTTATAAAATATTATTATTTCTAAAGTTTTGTAAATAATTTGTATATTTATTTACATAAAATGATTATGAAAATAAATTTTCTTCTTAAATTAATTTTTAGTTAATTTTCTGATGTTTCAATAATTAGAATAATTAGTCTGCTATTCGTGGTATAGCCCAAAAATCATAAAAATTGCTGGTTTTTGAGTCATAAATAGTATAATTATCTTAACTTAATTTTATTGATATACTAAAAATACTAAATAAAAGACAATTGCTTTAAAAGCAACTAACATACATTATCATAATACAATAACTAGCAAGTTATTGTATTTTTTTCTATACCTGGTTCAAAAGTGTATAAATAAATATATTTTTTTGTTACAGCCGAGATACTTAGAAAGATTAATAAATATACGCTCGACCCTACAAGACTCGCATTTCTTCAAAACACATGAACTCATTGGCAGTTCTCTTCTCTTCGTTCACGATAAAAGAAGAGCTTCCATTTGGATGATAGACTTTGCAAAGACTGTTTCAGTACCCGATGACGTCAATATTGACCATAACACTACGTGGAAAGTCGGAAACCACGAGGATGGGTATCTCATAGGACTGAATAACTTGATATCCATATTTGAATGTTTAATAAAAGATGGAAATGGAAATATTGACCAGTGCTATGCAAGTTTAAATTTAAATAAAGACGTGAGACAGGACACTTTAGCCACTTGATCTTTATAGACTGAAATTCTCATTGTGAGATCTGACATTTTGATGAACACATTATTGTGTTTCCCATAGCAGTGCCAAAACTGCTTCGTATTGCTGACACGACATAGAAATTCTACGTTAAGTTCGATACGATGTTTATAATTTAAAATGTTTGTTGTTATTTGTAAATAAGGCTATAGAAAGACCATTTTGTATTATTAAGTTGTTATATAATACTCATAATTATGTATAATTTTGCACCACCAGCACTTTGTTAGTTATATCGCAAATTAATTATACTATTAATGTAAATAGTTGTATATGAAAATTGTATAAGGATTTCGATAGATCAAATTGTGTTATATTAACAACTTCGCTAGAACTTTGGTTATTGTATAAAATTTGTAGGCTTCCAACAAACTAACGAAGTGCAACTTGCTTAATTTGTTCACATGTACACTATATTAGTGTAATGACTATCTAGTTAAATAGTTGTTATTACAATACAATAACTGGTGGTAATAATTAAAAATATAATATTAATAACTGTTTTTATATTAAATATAACCTATCGCTCAAGTAAGTTACTAAATGCTTTCAAAAAGTCGTTTAGTTACGTCTTTTAAAGGCGGTTGTTAGACTGGAACGATTTTCGATGGTAATACTTTATTATATTCTCCTTTCATCAAATAGGTGTTAGGTTAGTTTTTCGAGACTACGTGGAGTTCCAATACCAGTTGTAGTAGGGTAGTGTCAATCTGTTTTACGAGTCTCGAACATGAGTGACCAATTCGTAAGGTTCACTGGAGTCTTTCTTTGTGATCCTTATATTTCAAGCGTTTTAAGAATAAGCTTTTCTAAATGATAACCATCACTTAGAGATGAGCACTGTGTCAAAGTTATTAAAGTTAAGTTAGTCTGAAATATTACCTCCAACTTTACCAAAAGTATCAGTCTCCTATTTCATCTGCTAAGCAGCTTGAGTTCGGTTGTTAGGTGTCATTAGGTAGTATATATTAAATATATGGAATAAGACGCATTACATCTTATTCCTCTGGAATGGTAACGCATTAGTTAAAACGCAATTGAGATGATAATGTGATCTCCGCAGTGCTGACGTATACCATTTAAAATCAGATGGGCAGATTGGGATATTCCAATTACCAAATGGATCATATTTGGTAGTTTCCAGTTTTTTATACTGTCTGTCTATGCACTATTACAATAGATTCTCAAAATATCCTGAATAATGAGATTACTTTTGTGTTTTCACAGTCGACATATGTGTGTAGTTACACAACATAACTAATGATTAAAATAGGACTATATACATACTGTAACAGGATTGCATCAATTCGGCATCGTTTTGAGTATTATGCCATGTATTAATTTTATCTAAATATTTATAGTAGTATTTTTTCTTTATGTCTATGTACATATCTCGTGTCCATAAAAAATTAAGATAAGGAAAATAAAAGTAATATTGTTGTATGGACGGTTTATAATTTATAGTATAATAATACTATTACATTAAATATAAGTTATGTATTTAAATACTTACAACTAAATTGTACTAATAATGGGTTTGAGGTTACGTATTGTCTTTTAAGTTATTGTCTATTACTACATCAGTTAAGTTAGAACGTGTAGGGTCTCCATCTTCTGCATTTGCATTTTGATTGCGCATGCGTGTATACAGTCTCTGCACAGGGGCAGTCGATCTTCCTGCATCTGCAGGCGCTGGAGAATATCTTCTAACTCTAGGTTTTTGTGAGCCTTCTTCAGTAGATGCCTCTGATTCAGAATAAGGGGGAGGCGGCTGCGTCAACATGGACATACGATTTTCTCGTGCGGCGGCTGCTGTCAATTGTAACTCAGCGCCAGCAACGACTGTTGCTAATGTTGGTGTAAAATGAGGCGCTGCTAATCTAGCAGATACTCGTCTACGTCGAGGTCCCGCGGCTTCCTCAGTCTCTTCTTTATTAGGAACTGTAGGCAAGGTAAAATCAGGCCTAAGTGAACCACGTCTTCTAGTAGGAGTGGCGGCTGATTCACTGATTAAATCTAACAGCCCTGCTGGACTAGTTGAGTCAGAATCTTCACGTGCTGTTTCTATAGTGGCTAATGCTCGAAGTAAATCTGCTACACTAGTATTTTCTAATACCTCAACCTGTTCAGACTCAGGAAGATTTGATATATTTACGTTAGGATCAAACAGACTGGGACGACCACGTTTAGTTTTATTTCTGTAATTTTCTAATTCACTGGAGAACAAGCTGTTACGTCCTTCCTGAGTGGAGTTTCGATAGTCTTCAATATCTCCGGCAAATAAACTATTGCGGCCGCGTTTTGTTTGTTTTTGATATTGTTTTATACTTGCTTCAAGGTCATTAGAGCTTTCTTCGGGAGTACTTGTTTTTCGGTCTTTACCAAATGTAGGAAATAAACTTACACGTCCACGACGTGTTTTATTCTTATAATCCACGAGTTCATCCGAACTTTCTGGCATTGCATCATCATCATGCTTTTTAGACCTTCCGAATGTTGGAAATAGACTAAGTCGACCTTTTGTCGTCCGATTTTGATATTTCCGTACTTCTTCTTCATCTATTGTATCATCATCATCATTGCTTGCAGGATCACTGAAGTCGAAAGTAGGAAAAATGCTATGTCTACCACGTTTAGTTTTTTCTTTATAATCACGCGCTGCTGTATCTTCTGTATCACTAAAATCAAAAGTAGGAAAAATACTGTGTCTACCAGTCTTTGTCTTTTCTTTATACTTTTGTGCAAGATGGTCATCATCATCGTCGCTAAAATCAAAGGTTGGGAATATACTATGACGCTTAGTTTTTTGTTGATATGCTTTAATAGTTGCTGCATCATCATCTTCAGAGAAATCAAATGTTGGAAATATGCTATGACGCCCTCGTTTTGTTTTTTCTTTATAAGCATCTGCTTCGTTATTTCCTTTATTGTCGTCTCCGCCATGAAAGAAATTTGAAAAAATGCTACCACGTCTATCTTTAGAAGTCTCGTCACTTCCTCTTTGAGCATTACTTAATCTACCTTTCATCGTATTCTTGAGATATTCTGCTGGAGTTTCTGTAGAGCTTGATTTCCTAAAAATCCTTTGAAGAAAATTTCTAGGCGGTGACTCTTCAACAGCAGCTGGTGTAATACTTGACGGTAATGATAATTTACCACTTCTTATGTTTGCTTCTTTCCTAAACTTTTCTGCTGAATCGCCATTAGACCAGGTATAATCGTGATCTAGTTTTGTAATCGACCCTTTTCTATGATTGGGCACTGCAATACTTAATGCCCTAGTTCTTTTAGGTGAATTTGTTATTATATTTTGACCAATGGAAAAAAGTGGTGGTTTTTCACTTGCTAAAATATGTTCGTCATTAAACATGTGTACTCCTTTATTTCCTTGGGGTTGTTCAAATCCACCCAATACATTAACAACTCTGGCTAGTAATTCTGCAGGTTTAACAATGGCTGAGGCAGTAAATGTTTTATCTTTATCTATGCCAAGTAAATCTGTGTCCGATTGTATACGAAGCATGTCTCTGGCTGTAAGTTGTATATTTTCTGAATTGGCTCGTTTTCTCTTGACAATAGGGAATCGTGGTTCTACGTCGAAAGTGAAGTTGGGACAACTGTTGCTTCTATAAAAACGCGGTGATTCATCCACATAAACAGGCTGCAAATAATAATAAAATACATTAAATATTATTTGGAAAGAAATAGAGTAAATACAATAATAAAATGCAAAAAAGGGCATGGACAAGAATAGCGTAACATAAAAAAAATGGAATAAGTACTACTATAAAACCAAGTTTCATTGCATTTATATATTCTTGGTTATGACCAAGAATATATAAATGCAATGAAACTTGGTTTATTGTATTTTATTAATCTAAATATATATAACTCAAAGGTGACTGACGTAGTGATCTATCTACGCACAGCCCAAACCACTGGACGGATCGTGCTGAAATTTGGCATGCAGGTAGATATTAAGGCATCCGCTAAGATGAATTTTGATTAATTCTACCCGCAAGGGGATAAAATAAGGGATGAAAGTTTGTATGAAACTGTCAATTTTAAACCGATCTGGCTGAGCCTTTACATGCGTAAAGCTACTATGACGTAGGCATCCCCTAAGAAAGGATTTTGATAAATTGCACCCTTAAGGGGATAAATTAACGTGAGCGAAGCCGCGGGCAAAAGCTAGTATTTTTATAAGCGAATACATATTCTCAGTCCTTGGAAGATAACAACATATATAACGTTTTTGATTAATTATGCATTCTTTATAAATGTTTTACCTATATATAATAATAATGGTTACCTTCAACTTTATCAAATTAGCTTCATTAATGATCTTTCTAATGACGGCAATGTCTCTTGTGAATCCTTGTAGAATTTTATTTTGAGTAGTTTTAAACTGCGTAGCGAATTTCTGTTCAAGTTTATGCACGCGTTCAGATCTCATTCCACTGGTTATAAAGCCAAGCAGCATCACAATATATCCAAGGCCAAAGGTTATCCAGATGATAAGAAAAATTTCATACGCAATGAATTGGCCATACTGAAACCCGTTGTTGACCGTTCCTGGAAAGACAGGAAACAATACATATAAGTATATAGTTTTATATCACATATTTATTATGAGAATGTTTTTATATATAGATTGTGTTGGTATGAGCTCTCTATGATCCGGTTGCTAGGCGCGGTTTTTAAGAACACTCCTGGAATATGTCCTAAAAATTAGCTAAAACCTCCGATGTAGTTATAAAGTAAATAACTCTAAAGTTTTCGACTCTCATCTTGATGTATTTGACTTTGCTCTTTTAAAGGACCTTTTCTATCCCTAAATATTAAAAAATAGGTACCAAATTATCACAGATCAAAAAACTAACATTATAATTATATAATTTTAAATTAATCCTAAAACATTCGAATCCAATCAATTTTAGTAAAAAAAACCCAACACATAAATACATGCTGTGTTTTGAACTATCTTATTCATTCCTTTACAGATAAATGATATTTTTCCATTTAACAATTATGTATAAATACAATCATCATCATCATCATCAGCCGACTGCAGTCCACTGCTGGACATAGGCCTCTCCCAAGGCACGGCACTGGGCACGATCTTCAGCTCTTCTCATCCAGTTACTACCCGCAACCCTTCGTATATCGTGGCTCCACCTAGCTGCGGGGCGTCCTACTACTACGTTTGCCAATACGCGGTCTCCACTCTAGAACACGTCTACTCCAGCGAGCATCGGTTCTGCGACAGATATGACCAGCCCACTGCCACTTCAACTTGCAAATACGAAGAGCTATGTCGGTGACCTTAGTTCTCTGGCGAATTACTTCGTTTCGGATTTGATCCCTCAGAGAAACTCCAAGCATAGCTCTAATAATAAATAATCTACAAAACACATAAAAAGGAAATACACCCAAAATGATTAACCTAACTAAAAATTAAACATTATATTCCCGTTATTTACAAAAGATAAACTACCTGCAACTAAGTCACCAAATCCAATTGTGGTCAGCGTGACAAACGCGTAATAAACAGCCGCTACGTAATCCCATCCGTCTTCGAACACCACAAACAAGCATGCAGGCAAGAAGATGAAGAACAGGAAACCAGGCACCAGGTATAGGAATATTTGACCCAACATGCCCAGGTTGTTGAAGCAATAGCTCAGGTTATCGGCCCGCCGTACATTTCGCCGTTTATATTTGCGATAAACGGATATTAACTACAAAATGAAAGGTAATTTTGGTATAAATTATTAATATATATGAAATCAAAATAATAGAAAATCTGTATACAATAGTTAATACATTAATTAATATACATACTCTATTACTGGTCCTTTCTAACTAAGAGATAATTCAAATTGGTGCGATAGGAGGCGTTAACAATAACTTTATTGCGTTAAAAATTTGGAACACTAAGATTGCAACTTGGATGTTCCTATAAATTATATAAATAATACAGGGTGCTTCTCATATGAACATTAGACTACTAACATCAGGATGCCTAAACTTAGTACCCACAGTGTTTTATTTTAAATTTTCCATTATTTACACTACTGTGACATGCTTTGTTCCTCTAGACTGCTTATGATATCCTGGTAATAAAAAGGTGACATTAGTGGTATATTAAATATTTTAGGAAGGAATGATGGGTGAGATATGGTAGTCAATTCAAAACTACAACCTGCGTCAATATTTTTTTATACCCACGGTAATGTTCATATCTGTAGGGGACGGTTACCACTTTCCATCAGGTAGGCCATTCGCTTATTTACCATTCCAGTTGTATAAAAGATTATAATAATATCTCTGGGCAATTCTCACAGCGCCGTATAGACCCAAGCTAAGCAGACTTTGTAATATGGTTACTAAATGACTCATAGAAATATTTGAGTTCACTCTCACGTTGAGTCTCGAGTTGAGACTCACTCATGAACATGTATACTGTTCGAGGAATCGAACACCATCGGAAATGGTGGTGCTAAACCGCTAGGCCGTGTCCGTCAATATATAAATACCAAAAATATGTAATTAATCTTACCTGTAATCCAAAGTATTCACCAAGGTTTGCAAGAAGAATACCATTGATAGGAATACCGAACAAAGCATAGAATATCATAAGAATCCTTGATAGATGAGTGGTTGGGGCCAAATTACCGTAACCTGAAATATATCAATAAAATAATTTTAATATATATGTAAATATAGATATAGAAAAACAGCTGATTATACGTAGCAATTCAGGATTATAGTGAGAGCGCCAAGTGTCTATTTAATGAAGAGAAGTCTGTATTGCATTCTGTCAATAATAATTTAACTTGACTGTAGCATTATATTTAATTAAAACAAGCTTAACCGAGATATATGATTAAAAAATATAGTATCTCTATAATTATGAAAATCTTTATTCTAGAGATACGTGTTTTTTAATTTATCTATATGTTTAAATTTATAACGTTATCTAAACACAAAGTTAAACACGGAGTTAGAAAAGTGAACAAACAAAAACTCTAAGTCCTGTTAAGTTCCAAGTACCCCAACCTTCTTCTATATATCTTCAAGTCAAGCTAGCGTTATATTTTTTTTATTGGTATATATTATATGGGCATGTAATGCGCAGGAATAAACATTATTTTAAGGAATTTGTTTCATATGAATGTGCATGGTTATAAGGGCAGAGAAGGGCCTAAAAAGAGATGGATAGACTGTGTGAAAGATGATATGGTAAGAAAAGGAGTAAATACGGGAGGAAAAAGGAGTAAATAATAAAACGAGATGTCGGCGAACAGGGATGAATGGAAGAGAAAAACATATTACGCCAACCCCAATAAATGAGATAAGGGAGAAACAGATGATGATGATGTTGGTGAGGTATGTATATATTATCTTTAGTATACATATATATCTGTATATTTGGAACTCTTACCGATTGTACTGACGACGGTATATGAGAAAAAGAAGGAATGATAAAAGTCCCATTTGACGGGAGGCTCATCTTCCTCTGCTGTGGAGTTGTACATTGGTTTACCGCAGTACACAGACAGCTTATTGAGAATGCTGGTCTGCTTCTCAGGATCATTAGGAACATAATTCTCGTAGAGGAGATCTAAAATTGGATGAGAAAAATATTTTAAGTGCGTATACTTAAATTGTCATATTTATATATCTTTTCCATATTAATATTCTATAGAGGTAAAATTTGTGAGTGTGTAGGGGGTAATCTCTGGATTTACTATACCGATTGTGAAAATTCTTACGGATAGGAAGCCATGTTATTTGTGAGTGTCTTATGCTATATAAAATCACGCTATGACCAATAGGAGTCACTGAAAATATTGTAAAACGGGAAAATATGACGCAGATGAAAGTTGCACGGGTCAGCTAGTAGTACATAAATAACTAGTAAATAAAATATACTCTTAAGGTGGTGGAGGTGAATAATGTAACATAGTTACTAGCTGAGTCCGCGACTTTTTAACCATGATATTTGGAATAAAAAATTTTCCGTACCGATTGGAATAAACAAGAATTAAATTTCAAGAAAAGTTTACGACAATAATTTGGGCAAGCCGTACCCAAATTGGTTAAGCCGTTTGTGAAATTTATTTATATAAACAGACAAAGATTATAACAACTTTACATTGATAAAATCCTCCAATAATAGTTTTCTCATAGATGTTACTTTCATATACAGATAGCTCAGATACATTTTTATATTATTTGTCTAGTATTCATAATACTAGTTCTGCTTAGCTTGGCATTAGATGGCGTTATGTGATTTGTCCAGGTATATTATTATTATTTTCATACTTAGCATTATCGCAGTTACCTCAATTATTCCTAATTAGTGTCTATTGGTATTTAATGTAACAATAAGTTAATGATTTCAGTAAACATTGTACTCACATACACTGAAACCTTTATTACTCTGTATTATTCGTGACTTGTGTTTTTATTATTAGAATTGACGAGACGGTTAAAACTAATAATGGGTATGACGGGCACAATGTAAAACATCATTAAATGTACCATAATAAATTAATTTAATAGCATGATATTACTATGTAAAAGAAAATCGTTAAGATAATTAGAAACATTGCTAATAAAGACAAATTTGATTGAATTGACGCTCCAGGCCCATATATAAACACTACTGTATTATCACTATTTTCGAAAAAGGAACTATATTCACGTCTTGAATAATGAATAATATAGATCGGAAGTGTTTTTTATTCATATGAAAATCACTTCAGAACAATTGCAACTATTGGTGTAATTCTTTTTTTTTTGTAGTGTTGAGTGAAGAATAATAATTGCTGTATGAAAGTTTTCTCAGGTTTGCCTATAATTGTACACATTATATAAAGAGATATTTACAATGATAATATTATTAAATATTTCACTAATCATTTTTTATATACACACATTCACATACAGAGGGGTTTCATGCATACATTTAAACTATTATATACTCCACACTGCAGACTAAAAATTGTATACTTAACTATACTTCACAAAACATTTCTGTAATTTTTTTTAAGATGTATATACAGTAAGGTGCCGAAGAGATCCTGGAGATCTGTATACAGGTTTCCATTTAGTTCAGACTCCAGACTCTTACAAGGAATATAAATATTTTAGTATTTATTTGTAAGTTTAAATATAATGTATACAAACGTAATATCAGGAACTATTAAAAAATTAAAAATAATAATAATAATATATTTTTTTTAAGTTTAGAAATAATAATAATAATAATGTCTCAGGACAATTGACACAGCGCCATCTAGTTCCAAGCTAAGCAGAGCTTCTGTTATACCCATAACAGAAGCTACCCATATATCAGTTGTCTAGTACCCACTAGACAACTGATATAAATACATGGATACATTTTTTTTGTAAATAACATAGAATACACCCAGACCGATACAAACAATCATACTCATGAATACAAATGTATGTACCGTGCGAGGAATCGAACCCGCGACCATCGGATAGTAAAGCGGTGTGCTAATCCACTACACCACCAACGCTGTCAAATTTACAATTGTTGTTACAATAGCATAATAAATATCTCGTTCATGAAAATTAAGGTATATGAAAAAAACGTAGTGGTAGGTACATAATAGCTCATAGTAGAGACAATATCAATATTAAAAGTATATAGTAACGATAAAAAATGAAATGTAGAGTGCCTTAATTAAAATGATGGCTCAATCGGTATGTTTTTACAGGGGTCAATTTTACGCGTGATTGAACACAGATTAACTGCTTTTTGTGACCAATTATACGGTGTTGCTCTAATAAAACAGATCACTTCAGTACAAAAAAGTCAATTCGTGATTCTCTAAATACGAGTTTAAACGACGAGTTACGAGACGAGTACGAGTAACAGAAAAGGAGTCATTTTTGCCAATCTGCCTCAGATTTGGTTTTCTGACAGCTATTTATCAACGAGTTAAATAAATATGGTTGGTAAATGTTTTTATCAAGTCCTCAATGATTAATTATTGCATCAATTTATTTTAATTTCAAGACGCTGATTTAGAGGTGCTTCCTGGAACGGTTATATTTGAGAATAAATTATCCTTTTTAGTAGATCTACGATCGACTTAGTACTTCAGCGATTTAAATTAGCCCACTATTAGTTTATAGGTCAGGTTGTTATAATTCAAATGGAGACAAGTTTTTATTATTGAAAACTGTTATAATATTTTTATAATTGATTGGACAATAACATTGTGGGCACGGAAGCCATTAGCGGTTTTAATACTAAACCCCAACCATTCATGTATTTTATAATCATGCTTCAAAAGGAGGAGCGGCAGGTATTGTAGCTAGATTACCATTAAACGAACATAAAACCAAGTTACATGCAATTGAATCAAACCATTGTCGTCGAAGGCCGAAGTCACTGTCAAGATCATGGTTCTAACCCATATGTATCCATGTAGGAGATATGTATACCATTAATAGGCTGTTAATAGTTTAGTGATAGATTGCAGTGACGTCGATATCTAAAGACATATTTAGATAGATAGATACGAGTAGGTAGATAGATAATGTTAGATAAATAAGAATTCACACATGATTCAATTACGAGTAGTATACATAACAGAATAATTAAACTGTTACAATTGAATATGGATAAACCTGCAACCACAGCCATACAAAATGCCTCATTTTAATGTCCTTATTTTATATAAAGAAAAATATATTAAAATATAAGCCATACAAAATGCCTCATTTTTTCTTTTACAAAAATTTTTTTTTAATATTTTACTTAGAATATCACGTTTTTTCTTAAACTCATGGTTCTCATGGTCAGACTTTGTTACATGTATTATTCCCATACCAATATCAAATTATCATAATTTGTGTTGTGTCCTAGACGTTTTATTATATAGGAATATTTATACAAGATTGTGGCAAGTATTTTTAGTAGCCGCCAGTAGTCTGGTGACAACTCTAATTAAAGACTAATTCAGAAATCACGACTCCAAGTTTGCGGAGGTCGGTCGATGTTTACTGATGAGGAAATATCTCTGATATGTCCCCAATGTTATTGTACACAGTTCATTTGTATTTGTATAAAAATTTCCATGGGCTTAATACATCTAAGAATTTTTGCATTTACATAAATATATTGGGAGTAAATAACACTGAAATGTTGTCAAGAAATTCTTTTGTACCTACATTGGAACATGTCACATGTTATCTACAAAACTTGAAATGAAATTTTGTAAGTAGTTCCCATGAGTTATAAAATAGAAGTGATATATTATAATTATCTCCTAATACCTGTCAATAATATTGTTTGAAACGTATTTTAGTACGAATTTTTGTTGTAAACATCTGATAGAAATAATTAGATAGTTTTATTGATACGTAATGTAGATAAACATACAGACTAAACAATATTGGTGAACACAAAGTGATAGAACACTCTACCGTCAGAACGTTAGATTACCTGTAAACCGCTATACCAGCTATATTAATTTGACCAACATAACCTAAAAAACAGGTTATCTTCCTGTCTACTGCATGGTACATTCCTACCTAAGACTTGGGTTTTGGACTCGCCGTCTTCAAGGTTTTAGTTCGTCAAAAAGCTTAGAGGTTGACATAAGTTAATTCGTTAAAATTTTTAAGAAGTTTCAAAGTTCTATTTCTACAGGTGGTAGTAGTTTCCCAGTGGTCGACATTCGACCATAATAAAAATTAAACAAAAGATAGTGTGTGTAACAAATGGTAGTGTGTGTAATATGTAGTAATTTTTTATTAATATAATGTTTTGTTTAAGTATAATTAAAATAAAAAATACTCATTAACACATAAACTATAAGCGAAAATTCACACTCCGACCGCGCAATTTGTGTAAAAAGGGGTGCAAAGTTTTTACTTCACGTATGATTATAATAATTTGGCATATGTATTTTTGTTGTTAATAACATCCTATAGTAATTGTTTACGATTAGACAGACTATATGCTTGTCTGTTATATATCTACCGTTGTGGCTGTGGAAGAGAAAGAAAATATAGTTTAGTTCAATAGAATGATGTGAGACATCAAAGTGATGACGAGGAAAAGCATTTTCTATATATTTATCATAACATTCACGCCACATGATCAGCATATATTAACTTGACTGACCTCATCATCATGTTTTCCTGGTGTCGTCTTCCTAAAGCAATATATGAATGCAAAGGGGACAATAATTACAGGAGCCGGAAGGTGTTATTAATTTAACATTTAGTTCCACTAATGCGTTTTTATAATAACAAAATTAATACCTGACTAAAAAGGAAATAAGTATTAATATAGGAAATCTGACTGTCTGTTTGTAACCTATTCGGCTTAATAGATCTCAATGAAAATTCATACAGCGAGCAAACATCCAGCCTCACGTTAAGCGGAGCTTTTTTATGAATAATTATAAACAAGTGATATAAACATATAGATAATTTTTTTTGTAAATATAGACATGGAAAACATCCAGATCAATACAAACAATGATACCGTGCGAGGAATCGAATCTGCGACTGATGGAAGTAAGGCGGTGTGCGAAAACCGCTAAATTAATTTTGAGGTTTAAAATTATGTTC